TTACGTGAAGTCCAGGAATAGGCAAAATGAATCTGTGGGAATAGAAATCAGAATTGTGTCTTCCTGCGGGAGGAGGGAGGCAGGATGATTAAGTGGAAAGGATCCTGGGGAAATTTTCTGTGTGATGGCAATTTTCTGCAGTTTGATTAGGCCATTGGATACACAAGGTATATTTGTCAAAAAGCATCAAACTGTACAATAAGGTCTGTGCATTTTACTGTATGTAATTATACTTCAATTAAAAAATAAATTTAAATAAATAAAAGGATCAAATTAGTTGCCTCTCCCAATATTGTGCTCCTTGGCATTGGAAGTATCCAAGCTACATTAAATGCTTGTCAGAAATATTGTGAACGGTTCAGATTTGAGAGTTCAGATTAAGTCATTAACAAAACATAAAAGATTTGAAGACCCTGAGGTACATGATATTGAATTAATCGGATATTTCAGAAAAGACAGTATCTGTCTCCATCTGCCACTTTAGGGCACTCAACAAGAGTCAGGAAATTTATGTTACTAAACACTTGAAAACATCTTTAAATGTTTGTGTGACGTGTTCTTTTCTGAAATTCTTCCCATATCTGGCCTTATCTCTACTTCCCTCCTGACACCCAAGCCTTCAGCCATTCTATGTTCCTGTATCTTAGAACATGCAGCGTTTGCACATTTCCTTTGTTAAACAACCTCTCCTCCTCCACTTCTCATCAACTTCTGCCCGGTCTCTGAAGATTCTTCACAGGAGTCAATGCACCAGTAAAACTTCACTACAAATGCTACTCCCTGCCCTTTGAGTTCTATGCATGTTTTAAGGCTTGCCTGCAGCATAGCATTTACCCTAGGCTAGAAGTTGCCAAGGTTCCTTCCAGCTCAAAGATTCTAGCTCTTTGGACACGTGGTTCCAGATTTGAAGAGTGAAGAGAAACGGTAGCCATCAGCAATAACATCTTCATCAGGCTCTACAGGAGGGGGACTGAATGAAAGAATGGGACCTGGGGAGATCTGCAGTTAATCCTTGAACAACATGGGGTTTCAGGGTGCCGACATCCCGTGCAGCCAAAAATCCACATATTACTTTTGACTCCCCCAAAACTTAACTACTAATAGCCTACTGTTGACCGATAATAACATGACAATAGATTAGCACATACTTTGTATATGTATTCAATACTGTGTTCTCACAGTAAAGCAAGCTAGAGAAAAGAAAATGTTGTTAAGACATTCATAAGGAAAATACATGTACAGCACTGTATGGTATTAAAAAAAAAAAAAACCCACGCGTAAAAGGACATGTGCTATTCAAACCCATGTTGTTCAAGAGACAACTGTATGTTGCTTCAAATCAGGTCAGAAGCTACAATGTCAGCTGATTAGTAAGAGGCAGCTGAGACTTGCAGCTTTGGGGCTGGATAGGAAGGGACTAAGCTCTGTGGCTGCATGAGAACAGATCTGTGTGTGTGCACTGGACATGAGGGTTTGGAAGGAAAGGATTTAAAAAAAAAAAAACTCTAGGCTAAATACAGAAGCTAATATTTATGGAGTACTTTCTCTGGTGCCAGAGACTCTATACTAAACACCATGTATCCATTAATCTTATTTAATCCTCATTTTAACTCTCTGCAGAAAGATTAAGTGGTGTGCCCAAGATTTTGCCACTAGTAAGTGATAGAACCGGGTCTCATTTCCGGTTCTGTTTGACTCCAAAGTCCATACTCTTGATCACTGGGCTCTACTGTGCCCCAGAAAGGAATTGCCCGTATCATTTTACGCTGTCTCTTGGTTCCAAGAACCTCAACCAGCCCAAACTGACAACTTCCTTTCCCATGATTTTTTAGGTTATCTGAGAAGAAGCATCAACAGCATTCCCCAGTAACCTGGTCCAGGGTCTCTAATGTCTTTAGCCAGGGTACTCTTCTCTGTATTTAATCTGAGACCTCCCTTCTCTTGTTTTATCATTAATAGATGAGCTTAGGGCTCCATTTATACTTAAAATTTCAGTGGAAGGAGGAAGATGCAGAAACTACTGCAGTTTAAATATTCTGGGACATCTAGGGGCACCTGGGTGGCTCACTCTGTTAAGTGACGGACTCTCAGTTTCAGCTCAGGTCATGATCTTAGGGTCCTGGGATCGAGGCCCCCTTCTCCCCTGTGCTCCATGCTCTTGCAGAGTCTGCTTGGGATTCTTCCCCCCTCCCTCTTCCTTGCCCTCTGCCCCTCCTCCCACTCGTGTGCTCACGCATGTGCGTTTTCTCTCTCTCAAATAAATAAATAAAATCTTTAAATATTCTGGGGCATCTGAATCTTGTCAAGTTTCCATCGCAGTGTGGTCTAGAACCATATAAAGGAGGCTGATGAAAGGACACGATGAGTCAAAAAGAAAATGTGGGGCGCCTGGGTGGCTCAGTTGGTTAAGCGACTGCCTTCGGCTCAGGTCATGATCCTGGAGTCCCGGGATCGAGTCCCGCATCGCGCTCCCTGCTCGGCGGGGAGTCTGCTTCTCCCTCTCCCGCTTCCCGTTTGTGTTCCCTCTCTCGCTGTGTCTTTCTCTGTCAAATAAATAAATAAAATCTTTAAAAAAAAAAAAAAGAAAATGTGCATTAAGGAGATTGGGAAATGGGTTCATTCTCATTAAGGTATAGGTGCAGTGGACCACAGGGTATCTTGTTGCATGAAGCTATAGTCTTGCCAAAGAAAATGGAAGGAACTAAGCTACGGGACGTGGGAATCATAGCAATGTTATGCTGAAGTTTTGCAATAGTCTTCTTCCCTTGGTCACTTTGTCTAAATAAACTAAAACCATGCCAAATATATTCAGCACCTGCTGGGAACTCATTTCTTCATCTTCTCTTCTTCCTTCTCTGTAGTGCATGTCATTGTATTACGGGGAAATCCTTGCTTTCAAAAACAGTGCTGTGAGAACCCAGAATACAGGTCCTCCTTGCTCAAGAGCCTGACCTCAGTCCTCAGAGTTGCAACCCAAAATGACTCAGACCAGTGAGTGGGTGAGTGGGAGGTTTTAAAGCTACACTCCAAGAGCTAGTACCAGGCAGAGCACACAATGAGAACTACATCACTAACTTAGCAACAGTTTGTCAGTTTTTTCTTTTAATCTCCCCAATTTCTTCAACCAGATGTAAGAAATGAGACTCAGAACAAGTACATTTTTATAGAGACAAGAGCAGAGAGAAACAACCAACGCATAGAGTATTAACCAAGACAAGGCTGAGGAAAACATAGGGGTACATCCGGCGGTCAAGGTGAGCGGGATCAGAACACCTAAGTGAACGAGAAAAGGATGTTGTGTGCAACACCCGCCCCAAGTGATTTCTTTTTTTTTAATTTTATTTTATTATGTTATGTTAATCACCATACATTACATCATTAGTTTTTGATGTAGTGTTCCACGGTTCATTGTTTGTGCATAACACCCAGTGCTCCATGCAGAACGTGCCCTC